TGTCATCAGCTTCCTAGCTCTGTGTTGAGAAGACCCAGTAGGCAAAGACAATGAAGTCAGCCTTCTGATCATTGCAAGAAAGCTGCAAAGCTTTTATGTTTAAATATAACTAGTAGTTTCTGTCTCCACCAGACCCACAGTCCAGGAAACAGGTATTTCAGGATTAATCAGCTTCAGCAATACTCTTCTTTGTATGGAAAGAACAGTAAAGCACCTGGCACCTCTCTTTGCAGTGTTAGGGGAGGAAGTTATGGTGGAGAGTCACTGGAAAAATTATTCTCAGACATATGTGCATGTCTTAGACTTACACATCTACATTAACATGTAGAGGGCACCTGTACACAGAGCTAAGAGCTCTGAAACTCCTCTGGCAGACATTTGATTGAGCGACTTTCTGTCCTTGCGCTGTATCAAAAGCATCTATTTCAACATGGTAAAAAGAACTATTGATCCAGGACAGAGAGGATCAGCTATAAGAAGAAGCAGTGTAGTGTGCTTTATCACAGAAAAGATATTTACTTTTTTAAAAAATTACCATCTTAAACTGAATAAGATAATGCATTTATAAATGAAGGAGCCTTAGTTTAAGGAAGACAAAAGACAGGACATTAATAGATGTACTAAACCTCCAACTAATTAATCTTCGATTTATCAAAGTGCTGTGTACCTGAGCATTATCACTGAGTTGGCTGGCCTGAGAGAAACCCTGAGCAACTGAAGTGTGTCACAGCGAAGTAATCCTAAAAGATTCGTATAAGGACAGACTAAAAATCACAGTTTAGGCAATTTAGCAGGTCTTTTGCCAAGTGATCACATGGCGCTGAATGTGTTCTTGAAATTTCAAGTACATACTTAGAAACTCTATTAGATTGAGGATAAGTGCTTTCTTGGGTAATCCAATACTGGGATAGAAGATTAAAAACAGGAGTATTACTGACATTTAAAACTTATGTTATGAGGCTATACCTGGGGGCATTGTTCTCTTTGGTTTTTTGCAGGTTCCCGTAAAATGGAATTTAAGGGAAGTTCCTGGCATGAATCCTGTTTTGTTTGCCAGTATTGCCGGCAACCGTTGGGAACAAAACCATTGATCACCAAAGACAATGAGAATTACTGTGTGCCCTGTTTTGAGAAGCGATTTGCTCACCATTGTTACTCTTGCAAAAAGGTAATTAAACATGGAGTGGAAAAATTGCTCTAATGAGGTAATATTGCTCATGGGAGAAGGGGCTGGATCATGTAAAATGTCTAATGGACTAAGAGAGCAGAGTCTTCTTTTCAGCATCAGACATTGAAAGCCAACTGTGATAGTGTTTCCTGTCCCCTCTAGTTAAAGTTAATCTAAGCCTGATCATATTTGAAATAAACTTATTGACCAAAACAAATACTTTGGGGCTCTTTTGTTACCGATTGTAATTTTTAACCAAGGTTGGGTATTTCATGGAAATTTATGTAAAACCTTTCTTTCCTGATAATCTCTGATTTTGCCTTGATAAACATGCTTTCCCTTTCCATATCTTTTTCAGATATATTCACATGCATAATAAGCCACCTAAGCTGAGCAAAGCATTCACAGTCTTGCCTGTTTTTTTCTTGAAATATATCAAGCAATAATCAGTTTAAGTAATATTCAATTCTGATAATACTAATTCAGAGTCCTACTGTTTCAACACATGATGCTTCCCCTGTGGATGTCAGAAAGCTTGATTTCAAATGAGTTTTTCTTTTTTTTCTCCCAGATCCAAATAAATCAATTCATCCATCCCTCGATTTCTCATGTTTTAAAATGGTCTCTGTTTGATGAAAACACTCAAAGTTTCACACTATTCTAGTGTGATACTGTTCTCTAGAGAAATGTTTTAAGCTGCTTCTTATGGCAGAATTTAACTTTGGTACCTGTATTGATATGATTTTTTTTTCCACTTCATCAAATAACTTATAATTTCTGCAAATTTAAGATAAATTTAATGTTTTTCTGTAAACCTCTACCTCTAACAAAAGCTTCTAATTTAGGAAAAATCTGTTACCTGTTCTTTTTTTCAGTAGTTAAACTTTAGAAAGTACTTTTATATTTTCCTATGTCTCTACATCTAGCCTTCAGTTTGTATTAAATGATCACATGGGAAATATAGTAATTCTGCTCTATGTTTATGAGAGGCATTGAGGTTAGCAGCACTTACGTGAAATAACCAGGATTTACTCCTTAAAAAATCTAGGAATGCAAAGAATCCCCCTACATAATAGCTAAAATATTTTTACTACTTAAACTTGCACCAGTTCCCATAAATAAGAATTGAGCCCAAGAGATTAAATTGCCAAACTGGAGTCTTGAATTTTGTGCCAGAGATTTTGAGATTTTAATGGAAAAGCAAACGAGAGTTAGAGTCCAGTACTGGAATGCTAAGGGGATCGGGAACTGTTTAAGTTTTTTTATTGCCTGACAACACCCAGTATTATTCTTTATTTCCTTGAAATTCTGTTCCTCAGGGAAATTTGATGGTACCACTATTTTTCCTTAATTAAGTTCCTCCAACTTTTCCTCTTCCTGTTCCTCCATTCATTCACTGCCATGCATGTAACTTGACAGTAGAAACACTATCTTACAGCTCATCTTTATCTCTACAGAAATTTCTCTGTACAGTCTCTCACAACTTTTGTGAAAACAGCTCTTTACCACACATAATATAGAAGCCATAGAGCAACTGGAAATTTCCCTCTTCAGAAATAACCAGTGGAGAGCTGTGAGTGAGGTGCAGGGAAGAAGTTTGGTGACACTGATAAACACCATTTTTTCTTCTTCTGACAGTGTAGATCTCCTTCTGTCTCACTTCGCTCCTTTTCTGTCTTCTTACTTAAAATACGGTTTGTGAGACAGCAAAATGTCAGTTCCAGTTGGAGATTAGCTATAATCTCAGCATCAGTTCTCTCATCCACTGTCCATCACTGAGAATTGCTCTTCTGAGAGCATGCCTGATGCTAAGCTTTTATCTATATGTATAACAGAAAAATATCATAAACTAACCTGTTTATTACAAACCATGAGGTTATCCTGTGATAGAAAATCAAGAATAACAAACCAGAGGCATGTTCAGCTCTACTGCAGTTAGACAAATCAATATTCCAGATGAAAAACAGTTAATGTGACCACACTCTCTTGTGCATATGGTAAGAGAAAAAACAAGTGGAAGGACTTATGCAGGGTTTGGATAACCCTTCATGATTCACACTTATGTTTCGTTTCTCTGTCCTTGTTTGTCAATACAATAGGTAATAACTTCTGGCGGAGTGACCTACCATGACCAGCCTTGGCATAAAGAATGCTTTGTGTGTGCTGGATGTAAAACCCAGCTGTCTGGACAAAGGTTTATTTCCAAAGACGAGTATCCATACTGTGTAGACTGTTTCAGCAAATTATATGCTAAGAAGTGTGCTGCTTGCAAAAAACCTATTACAGGTGAGTCTTATCTTTTAGAGGGGACTAACTTTTTCACTGTGAGTGTGACAGGACACTGGAACAGGCTGCCCAGAGAGGTTGTGGAGTCTCCATCTCTGGAGACATTCAAAACCTGCCTGGACACATTCCTGTGTGACCTACTGTAGGTGATCCTGCTCTGGCAGGGGGTTTGGACTAGATGATCTTTCGAAGTCCCTTCCAATCCCTGACATTCTGTGATTCTGTGACTAGACACTGATGAATCATCAGTCTTTTCTCAAAGACCTTTACTTTAGAAAACAGCATTAAAAATACTCCCAGCATAATGAAAGACTGAGGAGTTAACTGCTAGAGAGACACTTTCCATCACATGTAACGTATCTTGCTAAGACGTACTGATCACATTTGTTACCTAGCTGCTGAGGAGTTCTTTTACGTGCTGAAAGGAGTTTCTCCATTGTTTGATTTAGTGCTTTCTGCACTAAAATTCATCCTTACAAATATTAAAAGAGGCACTTTTTGGCTCTTCCCAGGACAGTACACACAAATCCCTCATGTCCATAATTTCTTCAGATTTGTTTTTAAATATAAATGTGATCTGACTGGACATGAATTAACTCCCTGCTGATATGGCACACCTGTCAAATTAGAAAGCTTGCCAAATGCAACAAAGCTCCATTGCATGCATCCTTGTGTACTTAGGTGATTCATAATTATACATATAGGTCACTAGTCTATGAAAGCTGAAGTTTTCTGAGAGCATTTGCTGGTGTTCTGCACTGCAATTCTGTGCGGATTCAACTGTTGAAAAGTACTGCCTGACTTTACAGGAAAATTATGAATACTCAATCAAATGGGCATGATTTTACAAAAAAAAACCCAAAAAAATACCCCCCAAAAAATCAAACAACAAAACAAAAAAGCCCTAAAGACTCAAAACCTCAATATTTCATTTCAGACACTCATGCTAGGAACTCCATGATCTGGTAATTTCTGAAAGACTCTATCTTGAAGAAACTTAGGTGGAAATAATTAAATTTCACTCAGTGTGGTATAAAAACTATATGTGTCAACATATTGCAAGTAATTTTCATGATAGTTTGTTGGGAAGATAAGCAAACCTGCATGGACGTTCTAATGAATCTGTTGTGTTCAGAATTCATAATAGGATATGAAAACAAGCAAGTGACTTGTGGCTTAAAATATTTTTCACTGTATTTAATTTAAAAGTTTTTTTTTTCAATTCAGCCAACAAAAGATATTTCAGAGTATGGATTTTTGTTTGTCTGGTTTTTTGCTATATGAATGAGAACCTGATCATGCATCAACAATGTTGAATTTCTGAACCATGTCCAGAAATACTGGATTCACATCTTTCTTATAATCTCTTGCAGCTCTCGGAGGTGCCAAATTTGTCTCATTTGAAGAGCGCCAGTGGCATGGGGAATGCTTTAACTGTGTGAAATGCTCTGTCTCACTGGTGGGCCAGGGATTCCTCACTCAGCAGGATGATGTCCTTTGTCATGAATGTGGCTCTGCTTCATAGTTCCGTGGAGAGCTGTACAGCTGCTTTATTCTCACTCTGTAACAATGTATTTCATTACTCTGCAGTAAGAAAACCATATAAAATGTATAACAGTTATTTAGTCATTCAAATAACCTTCCAACAGCAGTTTAATTCTATCATAGTTCTCAACTGCTTATAAAAAAATTAAACATACCCAGGCTGGTTAAGAAAATAATGCAGAAAAGATTCATGTATATTTTAAATCTAACTACAGTATGTTTCTCCTTGTAACACACTGCACTCTGCTGTTAGAAACTTTAAAATTTACATTTCATCTCCCATGAACCAAGGAGGATTGTGAAAAGTCTATATGGCATATGACTAATGATGAAGCATTAGCACTGCTTCACAGACGTAGACCTTGGTGTGGAAAGCTGGACGTGCATTTTTTTATATTGGATCAAAACACTGATGACAGCAACTTGTAAATATCAACATCCTCCATACTTTAGGTAAAAAAGCTGCTGACAAAGCAGGCAGTAAGTGGGAGGAGGGGATACTTTTACACAGAGGGCCATGGAATCAGAGAGGCCCATTACAGGGCCAGATAAAAGAAAAAAGGGTCCTTTTCCTCTCCTTACTGAGATTGCTCCTCAGAAACATATTATTTAGTCATCAAAAAAACTGAGTCATAGGTCCTTTCCCAAAATCTGTTAACTGTACTTAATTTTTCCAGCATTACTGCTTTAGAACATAAAGAAATCCATATTTTGAGCTGCTGTAAGAGGTGAGGATTGCCCAAGATTGGATAGCATTGTTGTACACTTTTCCATAGCTAATATGCCTTATGATTCTATCTCCATTGTCTTCACTAGACATTCAAATAGACTCATAACACAAATGATTTTTTTAAGAGACACAAGGGCCAACTCATACTTGTCCCTTCGACCTTGTACTTTTCCTCCCCTCAAAACCCACTTAGGAGCAATCAAAGCACTCTTAACGGCCTTACCATTTCCACCCTGCTGGGTCTTTGATTCACAGTCTACCCCTTTTCTTCTAAATGCCTGCAGTATGTGACTCATTTTGCCATGTGCCACATGCATTTGCCAATATTATGTCAAGAAGTGGTAATGCTGTCATTGTAAGCTAAGAAGCCCTCGCTTGTAGTACAAGGTATTAGTTTCTAGGTAGCTGGCTTTGAGGAGGTTATATGTGCTTGCTGAGCTTCAGCGCTCACATGTCTATTATTAAAGGTAATCTAGAGCTGGGTTACAAGTATTACTCTTCTTCCTTCTTCCATACTGTGTCTCACAGTGGCCTGATTCATGTTACAGTGTCTGTACCAGGCCCTTGTGAACTGTAAAGTGATATTAAGAATGGCAGATTCTGCACCACTCAGCACTGTTTTAGTCTTCATCTTACATGTCCTTAAGTCATACATTCTCCTTTAAACTCTGATCTTAAGTGCAGAGAGTTATTTAGCTGACCTGAGTGGGGTTTACTTATACTGAAGACAGCCATTACTTTAGGTCAAAAAATGAAAAAAAAAGAAAAAGAAAAAAAAAAAGAATGTGTGCGCATAGCTATGCCAGAGCTGAACTGCCGTGGCATAAAATCAATGTGGATAATGACTGACCAACAAGTACATAGCAATCTGTTTTTCAGTCAATAAAATATTGATCTTTTGCTCTATGTGGTGTTCATCTTTGTTTTTCAGTTTCTTCTTTCATGGCAGCTTTTATTGCAGTCTAGAGTTTGATTAGTTTATGTCTTTTCATTTTATCCCAGCTGATTCCTTTCGTATTTTCACATTTTATGTGGCTCATACAGGTTCTTGGTAAGACTTGGATTCCCATAAATAAAAATATGTTTCATTGCCTTAAAAATATATGTATCTATACATACACATATATAGCGGTTCACAGTTACATATGATGTTCTAAAAACTGAGTTACCAGAAATTAGCCCATTAGTAAATATTAATTGTCTTAAATTTTTAAATTAAAATGATGAATCTCCAGATGTAGGCTTGTCTATGGGGTGTACCTTTTGTTTGTGTGTGAAAAAAACATTCAGCAAATTGCAAGAATGTGGTCTGAGCCCTTTATTCAGTCTTGTCTGAACAATCTTCCAGCTTAATTACAAACTGACGCAAGAATTACCAGACAGAGTCCTAAGACATGACATAGTCACAGGTCAGACCAACTGATCGTGATAATCCCTATCTTCCAGTCTTAACATTTAGGAAAATGAAATTCTTCTCTGACTCATCAACTAATTATATTTTTAGAAATACCAACTGAATTATTTATTTCTCCTGCAGTAAATACACTACAGTCAAATCTGAAGCTGAGCATTTTCACTTCAGAGTAGAAGAAGAAATAAACATCATTACTATAAATAGTTCAAATAAAAGTTATATTAGGTATCAGATTGATATTTCCTAGTCTCTATCACCAGTTTACCAATGCCTAAACATAAAGTAATACTCTGCATAATTTGGGTCACCTATACTTATGCAGAGGAAATCCAGCTTGAATAGAACAAGAAGGAATAGTGTGCCTCTGTGGAGGATGGTAGATCATGGAAGGGATTAGACAGCTACTATAAGCCAAGAGACTACATATGGCTCAAGAACAAAGGCAAGTATACTCCTTATGACTGGAAATTGGAAATTAGAAGGCTGTTGCTGCTGCTGAGCAGTGATGCTCCAGGAGAGCCTCTTTCCAGAACCAAGAGGGGAACAACTATGTGGTCAATTTTAAAGTGATGCTTGATCAGTGTGTTAAATGGCGTATATAACATGATTGCCTGGGATAGCAAAGCACTGGGCAAAATGAACCAGATGGTCAGCTTCACTCTTAGTTGCTAACATCTGATTTACCACAGGATGATCAAGGTACAGACTCCAGTGCAGTTCAATTTTCTTTAATAGATTCCAGAGGACGAAAGTTTGAGAGATTTATTTTAAGTCAATTTTTTTTTAAGTCAAGTGCTATTCTTTAACATTGTACTGTTTTATTTTAAAATATATCTAGTTCTTCCCTGTGTATTAGCTGCCCAGCTCTAAGGTAATCATACTGCTTTTGTTATGGTCAAGCTCAATTATCCTGAGGTGCAGTGATGTCTCTAATGCCCTGATCACATCTCCACTGTACTCAGAGTTATCCCAAGGGACTGGGAGGGAGGCTGACATTTGTGACTGACTTCTGAAGAGTGAAGCAGATGCCCTGTTACCTCCCTCCATGCTTAAGGCTAAAGTTTAATTTCTTTGACCACTGCTTAATTGTCGGAGAGCTCCCAGAGAGAACATGCTTAAAATACAAAAACAAGCCCTGCAGTGTTGTTACCAAGCGACCCTTCTCTACTCATATTTCTGAATGTCACATTTTTCACTCCAAGACAAGTTCATATAGTGAGAGCAAGATATCAGCCTTTTCCTGGACTCCTACTTTTAAAATCCAGGCATGTTTCCAGTGGATGTTGTAGCAGGCAACATAGAGCAGCAGCAACACTGGAAGCCAGGATCACTTCCCTGCATTTCACAGGCAGAGCCACATGCTCTAGACTCATGGCTTATGTCCAGGATGAAACCTAAACACCCTCCATTCTCTCTCATTGTCCTCTGGTTTTCTGGAAAAAAGATCTGTGAATTTAGGCTGGGGAAGAGTTAGGGCATAGTCTGGCTATATCAGTGAAGTGGGTGTCACATCACAGGGTAGTTTTTCTGTAGTATTTCAGCACATGCAAGTTCAACTGGTCTTTGCACTCTACCAGTGGGTATTGTCCCAGGCTTTCCTCATGGTAAGAGTGTCTCAGTGCAACCACAGCAGCATTAGGAGTGGAATGGTAAGGTTTTGCAAGGCTTTCTGGACCTGTGGTTTCAAACACAACATGGGCCCCACTATATTGACCAGTAATTTCAGTACCTGGCCAAAGTTTTGGAATCTCACTTGATTTAATAGAATGGATGCAAAACAGTTTATTTTATTCTAGGACAACAAGTAAAAACATGGTGACATTTATACAATGACAGATATCAATAGTTGAAAGAAAGTAATGTCAAATGGAAGTGGAAGCTGGGAGATATTTTTGTAAACAAAAAAGTTGGATGGGATTCAAGTCTAAAGCCAGAACAAACTTGTTTACCAATCAAGCAGGAAGGCTGCCATAAATCAAATACATACTTGTTAATAATATCTCAAAGAAAATGTGTGTGCATGCATGCATACTTGTCCACCCTCAAATTGACAATACTTGAATGGACTGAGACACAGGAAACCTGGCAACTTAAACCAATGGACAAAACATCTAATGTGGTTATAGACTACTATTTCCAAACAGAAATTTCAGTTCACCATATTCAGAAGTAGCAGGTACAAGTACTTTGGTAGAAAAAGAGGACAGATAAGACTTTTGGAGGACAGATATGGCTGCATACAAGGATGTAACACAGAGATGTTATCCAATTGACAATACATGGCTGCAGTGGACAATCTAGAGTTTTGACCTGAGTCATTAAGCTTTCCTTAGCTTGTTAGAGAGAACACTAGTCCAATAGTGTCCATTTAAATATTTCTATAGAGTTTCATCCTGTATTTTTCACCCAAAGTCCTTACTGGGTCTCCTTGAAGATGAGGCCAGACAGGAGTATCTCTACAGCACAGTCACACAGATATGCACAATAGCTAGCAAACACAGCCCATAAGAACCTGGATTTGCTCAGTGAAAACTAATTCAATGTCAGAAGAACAACTGCTGAACATTACATCCTACCTAATAAACTTTATCTCTGTCTTGGATATAATTCAATATCTGTTTTTATCAACTTGTACCTCTGCTGCATGGTTTTACTGACGTCTCCAGTAAGATATACAAGAGTGTAGGTGCTCACCTGATTCACTGCAGATGTTTTAGCACTGACTGAATTACTAAGTTACTGCATACAAGAAGCTGTACTACCACCACATCTCTGAAAAACAGGAGCCATGACTGCCTCTCATGCATAGTCTGCGTGAGGCTTTGATAACGAATCACATCAAAATAACAAACACTCAGCTCCTGCCTCTAGTCTGGGCACAGATACAAAGCTGACCATCAAAATACTCAGACAAGATCACTTACAGAGCAAGCAAAGGAGCATGGCCTCAGACTTAACTGAGTCAAGCAAAAAAATACCTATCAAAATCAAGAAACAATTAGGCAAGCTTTATGAGGTTCAGATGTTTCACTCCAGTGCCAGTATCTCAGCACTCTCTGAAGTCACTTGTTAGCATTCACCCAATGCTTCATGTCCTGATCATCCTCAGGTGCATTCCTATAATTTCCACTTGTGACCAGGAGAGCAGTTTACTGTGAAAGGACCTCAGTCTAGCACAATGGTCCACCCTCAGCAATCTCCT